CGACAGACACGATAGCCTTCAACCTTGTCCGAAGCAATTCAGCAACAGCAGCATGGTCACTCAGAAAGAATTAAAAAAAAAAAATTGTGGCGAGCAGCACGCAGGACCCTCTTTCGCTGTTCAACCGGCCGTTTCCATGGCGAAACAGACAAGGAACAGTCCAGGCCGAGTCGTGTCGGCCACAGCAGGCGGAAGCTGCTGAAGCTCGGGGAGGGGTAATGGTTTGCGATTGCCCACCAAACCATACTTCGGGCGCCACGAGATTTACACTGTAGCTCGAGATCGGCGTTTGAGACAGGGTCGGGCAAGGGGTGGGCTGTGCGAATAAAAGTTCCACCCACCCACCCACGGATATTGAAATATGAGACTGAAGCTAAAGCTTCAGAATACCATTTGGTTGTAGACTCACGTCTACAGTGCACCTCAGCACACCTGTCAACAAGGTGTGGCACACGCTTCTGTTACCTTGCTTGCTCACTGCTGCTACCGCCGTAGCACAGGTCACTTGAACAGATAGACTTCTGACTTGCGTCACCAGCCTATTATCGTGTTTTTAGTGAGGACCTCTTTTCAGCAGATCTGACGTTCGCTGAAAAGAACACACCAAGCAATCTAACTCCAGCAAAACCACCAGGGAACTGTTCTTGACTACACAGTCTTAGCAGACCCTAAGCCTCTGATTTTCTACAGGCGTTGAGCCTCGGTTTACATGGCACACAAAGAGACTACAGCAAGCATACGCTTGAGAAAACCAGAATCTGGGCAAAGTTGGTTGAAACGTAACTTTCGACCAAGACCAGCGGGATTAAAACACCTAGGCACGTGAAGGAGCAATCATGGCAGAGTCCTCCAGTAACATCACGGCGCTCATCAGAGGTATCCCCAAGTTCGATGGCACTCCGGCTAAGTTTCAAGGATTGAAACGTTCAACTCGCGCACTTTTGAGACTTGCTCGTCCCAAATGTACAACATCATCGATGGCGAGAGGCGACCACAGGAAATTTACGAGAAAAGGAGCAGAACCCATTTTGAACGTACTGCTGTAAGAGACACAGCAAGGACCCCTACCCCAGAAGGCAGCAGGACAGCTGCAGGGGAGGAAGACCAAGGTCACCAAGACCAAGGTGAACGAGAGGCGAAGACGAACGAGGGCGAAGAGGACCAGGACCAAGACGGACTCCAACAAGAACTTCAACAGACTGCACCAAAGAGTCCAATTCTCGACCTCGCAGCAAGCATGTACCGGATCGGATCAGAAGGACTATCCAGACGACCTCAACGCGAAGACACCACGACTACTGCTGGACTTCTGCTAAACGAGGAGGAGATCACTTCATGGGACCAGAACAACGCCGCACTCTTCAACGTGTTGTTGTTAACCACGGTAGGAGCTGCTGGAAGTCTTATGTCACGGTTTGAGTCAAAAACAGGTGAGGTTGCAGACGGTCAAAGTGCCTGGAATCTATTATGTGCCAAGTATGAGAAGAACTCAAGTCAACGTCGCCGTACTCTCATGCGACAGTTAGACAACTCTCGTATGGAGCAAGGAGAAGACCCTGATTGTTTTTTCGTCAGAATTGACCAGCTCATAGACGATCTTGCACTATTGCATGAACCAATCACAGAGCACAGAAAGATGGATATCATTCTATCTGGACTGACCAGCGACTACAACCTTGTTAAATTCCAAGTAATGAAAGACTCCGAACTATCTCTGGAGGATCTCATTATTATGATGAGAAACATGCACGTAAATCGTCTAACACGACCAGGATTTATCAGACACAGAGGATCGGCTATGTATACTGAAACCTCTACACAAATGGACAAATCACGAGTAAAACGCCACGCATGCGGAAGACTCGGCCATTTTAAATCTGAATGTCGCGTAACGAACACGGACAGGAATAAAATCCAAGTTCAGGAAGAGTAATACACCTTCAAAGAACAGTGCAACTGCTCGTAATACATGGTGCTCGCTTCATAATACGACTACGCATAACGATTCAACCTGTAGGGCGCAAAATGCTAGCCACGCACAGAAATCAAATGCCGGAAAGTTACACGAGAACGCACATACAGTGACAGCTCATACAACTTCGCATAACGGTTCAGATTGCAAGGCACGCACCGTCTCCAACACAGCGAAATCGCATGCGAAAAAGTCACACATGAAAGCACACGCAGTATTAGCAGATAGAGCTACACGGAACACCGTACAGCCATACACCCAACATGACATATTTTCGGTAGATTCGTGCGAAGAAACTATGGGCTTCATATTCTCAGCACAAGATACGGAACAAACAGCGTATGGAACGACTCAGGAAACAGTCAGAACATGACTGTAGAAGTCGTCGGTGGTACAAATACCAACCACCAGGAAACCGAAACTGATATCGAAATATCTTCGGTTGTGTATGAAGAAGAAACCATGGGTTTCGTATTTTCAACACACATGTCCGCACCGAGCGTGCAAGCCGCACCAAGCGTGCGAAGAAAAGCCGCACCAAGCGTGCGCAGTGAACCCGCACCAACCGTGCGAAGAGAAGACGCACCAAGCGTGCGCAGTCAAGCCGTACCGAGCGTACGCACGAAAGCCGTACCAAGCGTACGCAAGGAAGCCACACCGAGCGTGTGCACAAAAGCCACACCGAGCGTGTGCAATCAAGCCGCATCAAGCATGCGCAAGGAAGCCACATCAAGCATGTGCACGGAAGCCGCACCCAGTGTGCGCAGCAAAGCCGCACCAGGAGTGCGCAAGGAAGCCGCATCGCATATGCGCAACGAAGCCGCGTTCGAAATGTGCAAGGAAGCCGCGCCCAGTGCGTGCAAGGAAGCCACGCCCAATGCGTGCATCTTCTCATCAGGAACGCAGACAGCGTTTGGATCGATTCACCGAAACAGTCTGGACATGACTATGGTGGTCGATAGTGGAGCATCAAGCCACTACGTAGATGACCAGCTCATCGAAGGAATCAAGACCCGGATGTTCGAGTACAAGACGCTCGACACTCCGACAATCATCACGACTGCAGGAAAGCATCAACTTCGCGGTACAGCTACCGGAAAGTGAGGGTCAACGTCACCGACTCTCAAGGAAGGAAGAAGATCGCAACTCTTCCAATCACAATCGTTAGTGGAATAGGTCGAAACCTATTTTCATCTGTAGCAGCTCAAACAAAAGGTTTCAAAACAATCATATCAAATGATTCAAGAATAGAAAACCGCAGCTGCAAGTTCCCACTTCGTAAAGATGGACAACATCGACACCATTCGAGCTCGTCTACACCGACCTGGCCGGACCTTTCAAGACAGCACTGGACGGATCAAGGTACATCAGCAAGTTCGCCGATCATCACACGAGATGGAAAGCAGTCTACACCATCCGCTCCAAGGATCAGGCATTCGAGACGCTCAACTACTTCATCCAAGACTACGTGATACCGCAAGGACATCGGGTTCAACGACTAAGGTGTGATAAAGGGGGTGAATATACGGCGAATTATTATCAGGATTTTTGCAAAGAAACAGGAATCGTTCAAGAGTTCGCAGCCACGAATACTCCCCAGCAAAACGGGATATCCGAAAGAGACGGCAGAACTATCATGAATATGACACGGTGCTTATGTAGTCGACACAGGATTACCAAAATTCCTCTGGAGCGAATTATATGACACAACGGTTTATCTGATGAATCGTTCACCGCATATTGCCCTTGACGGGGATTCGCCATACTCCAAACTTTTTGGTAAAATACCTAAGCTATCTGCACTACGCGTTGTTGGAGCGCGAGCCTTCGTGCACATCGAAACGTATATTCATAAGTTAGAGAAGAAAGCTCGGGAAGGAGTAATGGTTGGATGCGGGAAAGACTGTCGTTCTTACCGCATTTACAATCCTCACACTCGCCGGATCACTGAAAGCCGCAACGTAACTTTCATTGAGACCACTCCAAGAACTCTGACCACAAAGAGGATTGACACATCACTCGTCAACGAGAATCCCATCGAGGAAGACACAGCTTATGAAGAAGATGTCCTTGATCATCTCTCCATAATCCAAGCTAACTCGAACGACGATATTCAACAATCACCGAACATTCCGAATCATTTGGTCGATATTCGAAACTTCGAACCATCACCAAATTCAGAAAGGGCAAGTAGTCCGTCTACAACCCCATCTGACTATTCTTTTGGCAATTCCTTACAGGATAATTCCGAAATTCCGTCAAGTTCATCACGGACTCCATCGCCAACTCCAGAACAACGGCAGTACGCTGTTATACCAAGACGAACAACATCATCCGGACCAGTCCGAGAAAACATCGGAACAAACGTAAACGACAGAACATCGCGAGAACTAAAAAGTCTGCGAAGTTACAATCCATCACCAAGCGCTGACTATGCACACGAGACACTGTATCCTCAGTTCGTTTCATACGCATATACATCCAAAACGGGAGTTCAACCAAATCCAGATCCAGCTAGCATACCGCTGCCGAACACGTTCGCAGAAGCGCAAGCATCCCCACAAGCAAAAATGTGGATGAAAGCTATGGATAAAGAAATGGAACGATTGAAAGAAAATGAAGTGTATGATCTCATTCCAAGATCTACTGTTCCTTCAACCAGCAAAGTGATCGGAACACGATGGGTGTTCAAAGTTAAAAGTGACTACACTTTTAAAGCCAGAATAGTATGTCAAGGTTGGAGCCAACGACCAGGAATTGACTGCGGAGCCACCTTCGCACCAGTATGTCGCGTCGAGAGCATACGGGTACTATTAGCCATTGCGACCCAATTCGACTGGGACGTCACCATGTGTGATGTACGCAGTGCTTTTCTCCAAAGCCCCATCGACCAGCCAACGTTTTGCAAACAGGCTGACGGCTATGAAGTACCAGGGCCAAGCCCAGGCAACCCTCTAGTCATGAAACTGAAACAAGCAGTTTACGGTTTACGTACAGCCAGTCGTACTTGGTACAATACGCTGGACAAGGCATTGAAAATCATTGGTTTTGAGCCAACCAAAAGTGACCCTTGTTTCTATTTGTTCACAAAAGAAAATGGGTACGCAATCCTAACAATATACGTCCATGACATTCTGGTATCATCTCCCGACAAGATATTACTAGGACACCTGAAAGAAAAGCTGATGCAACGATTTTCCATGACACATTTGGGAGAAGTATCTCTCATTTTGGGTATGAAGATTACCCGTGACCGTGCGAAAAAGACTCTTCGCATAAGCCAGTCAGACTATACAAAGTCTATCCTGGAAAGATTCAACATGACTGACTGCAAGCCAGTTAGCACTCCAAGCACTGGAGTTGAAATCTCAACAGATCAACCAGTTGACACCCTTCTTGATGCGGAAGGAGTAAAACTATACCAAAGTCTGGTTGGATCGCTGCTGTATTTGTCTCGGGTATCACGGTATGATATCTGCTCTGCAGTATTGCAACTGACGCGCGCTACAAGCAAACCATCGAAGCTACACCTTCAACAAGCAAAGCATTGCTTAAGGTATGTACGAGGAAAAACTGACCTTGACATCCAGTATAAGAGCGGTAACTTCAAACTGGAAGGATTTTGCGATGCATCATTCGCTGCTGAGCCCCAGAAAAGGCGCAGTACCAGCGGCTACATGTTCATGCTATCCTCCGTTCCTGTCAGTCGGTGCAGTAGTCTTCAAACACTCACAGCACTGAGTACAGTCGAAAGTGAGTTGACTTCGATCGTTTATTGCGCAAAAGAGGCATGTCATCTTTGTGGCTTACTGCACGAGCTGCAGTTCAACGGTTTCTCAACCATTCCCATATCAAATGATAATACGGGAGCCATGACCTCTATCAGTACACCTACTATTTCAGCAAGGACGAAAAACTTGCAGCTACGCAAAGCTTTCGCTGCTGATCTAATAGCAAGGGAAATAATATCCCTTCACTACGTACCTACGTCTGACTTGATAGCAGATGTGCTCACAAAAGGTACAAGTAAGGCGACACACAACAAACTGATCGCTCTTTACAAGACTTCTCTGTTTAAAAAAATTCTAATGTAACGAACGGTTACATTTGGAAGAGGCATTATTGGGTAAAGGGCAACTGCGATTTTTGGTTTCTAAAAAGCAACTGGGCCCCACTGCTTCACAACCATCTTGCTCCCCTCGCAAAACCCTCGACAACAAACAAGAAGCAGCATGTCTATCCCGATTGCCCTCATCAGTGATGTTGAGTTGCAAGCCATCAGGGGAAAACTCAAGTCCACAATCGACATCGATCAAAAGATCCAACACCAACGTCATGAAGAGGACAACAACGGCAACAACGGCATCATCAGCAACAAAAAACAGAAGACGGATACAGGTCTCGATTTCAAGGACTACCCCGACATCGGACTTGAGAGTCCGATGAACGACGACGACGAGCTCGAGCAGCTCGAACACCTATTTTTAGGAGAACCAGGCATCGCAGCGGACCACAACATGGCCTTCACAACCATCGAGCAGCAACAAGATGAAGAACCAGACCACAACCTGATTGCAGCGGGTGTAGCAGCATCATCACAACCTGGTGAGACGGTTCACCCTCCGAGGCGGGTATTCCCGTTCAGCGATGA